TGAGTAGCTGGAACTACAGGCATATGCCACCATGCCTGGCTAATTGTTGTATTTTTAGTAGAGACAGGGTTTCATCATATTGGTCTTGAACTCCTGACCTTGTGATCCACCTGCCTCGGCCTCTTAGAAGCGTGAGCCACTGCGCCCAGCTTGTTCTTTGAGATGAAGTCTGACTGTTGTTTCCCAGGCTGGAGTGCAATGGCGTGATCTTGGCTTACTGAAACCTCTACCTCCCAAGTTCCAGCAATTCTCCTGCCTCAGCCTCCCGAGTAGCTTAGATTACAGGTGCCTGCCGCCATGCCCGGCTAATTTTGTGTGTGTGTGTTTTAGCAGGCTGCTCTCGAACTCCTGACCTCAGGTGATCCACCTGCCTCGGCCTCCCAACATGTTGGGATTACAGGTGTGAGCCACTGCATCCAACCGAATACAAAAGCTTTTATAAGAAATTTCCCAGCTGGACATGGTGGCCCGGCCTGGCCAACATGGTGAAACCCTGTCTCTACTAAAAATACAAAAATTAGCTGGGCATGGTAGTGGGCGCTTGTAGTCCCAGCTACTCGGGAGGCTGAGGCAGGAGATCACTTGACTGGGCAACAGGAGCAAAACTCCATCTCCAAAAAAAAAAGAAAGAAACTTCCCTCATCTTTGTAGCTGTTTGTGTAACTTCCCCTGTCTGTGTAACTCCCTTTAACTGTGCAGCTGTGGGCATGTTTTTAGGAAAGCACATGTAGCTTCTCTTGTCTCTGTAATTGCAAGTATGTTTTAGGTAAGTCCTCCCATCTCCCTCCCTGTGCAAGTTCCCACAGAGTACACCATTTACAAGCCTGAAAAAGGGAGGAAACTTTTTTCCCAGGAGCCCGCTGATTACACAAAGACAAAGACCTCTATGCTGGGCCGAGCTCCCTTATCTGTGCAACTGAAGCTTGATTTTTTTCCCCAGGCTGCTCTATCTGTGCCTGCAGCTTTGATTTTTCAAAAGAATTTTACCAAAGACTAGCCTTAGCTGTCTGCCCAGCTGATTTTTTCCTTTTCTCCTCCCTCAGCATCCTGCAGTAGAGAGTTACCTTTGTCCCCAGATTGCCTGGTCCTATTTTTGAAAATCCTGCTGGCACCTACTGCTGAAGGCTGTGGCTGGATAACTAATAGTGAGTTACTCTGATCTGGGTAGGGCCTGATGGTCTTCACTTAACCTTAGCTGAGCTCTCCCAGGCCATGAGCGTCCCAAGGTCAGCCTGTGACACTCACAGAAGTCCTGGCCTCCAGTGCCTTCCCCCTGCTGTGGCCTTGTGGGTTACATGGGCCAGCACCACCTGCCAAAGTCAGGGCCAAAAACCTGCCTGTGGGAGCCAGATTTGGCTTTTGGCTTGGGCAAGTATTGACTTTGGGCACATTTTCATCCCAGAAGGAATAACTTGGGGTATGGGATTTCATTTTGTCCTTAGCATAGCCATGAAAGCCATGTGTGCAGGGTATTTTGTTGCTAAGATAGCAGTTGGGCTATATGTGAGCAGTCCAGAGAAGTTTAAACTATAGAGTCATCTGGACATTGTCACAGTCTTGTCTGAGGTCACATAGCTTGCAGGCGGTAGAGCTGAGAGTCATACTGAGGAGTCTGATCCTGTAATGAGCCCCTGGTCACTATGCGTGGAAATAATGACACCTGGAGTTCCAATTTTCAGCATAGATCCACTTTGTTTGAATAATAAATATGTAAGAGTATTTCTCCAATTGCACTTACACTTACACACACACACACACACACAATCACACACACACAATTATGCCATTTCTCATCTTCCCTGAAGCACATGGCCCCTTGGCCTCTCTTTTATTGTCATATTTTTTTTTCCTTCCTTCCTTCCTTCTTTCCTTCCTTCGTTTCTTTTCTGAAGTCTGGCTCTGTCACCCAGATTGGTCTGTAGTGGTGTGATCTCAGCTCACTGCAACCGCTCCTGGGTTCAAGCAATTCTCCTGCCTCAGACCCCTAAGTAGCTGGGCTCACAGGTGTGCATTACCACACCCAGCTAATTATTGCATTTGTAGTGGAGACGGGGTTTCACCATATTGGCCAGGCTGGTCTCAAACTCCTGACATATACTTTTTTTCAGAAACATAAGATTAGGTCTGTATTTCAACATTAGCAATGACTGCATTCTGACTCAATATTGGGGAAGTTTTGAAACCAACCCAATAGTCCCATAGACAGCTTTTTTGGATAAACATAGAAATCAACCCTTCTAATCTTAAAACTTGAAACTTACATTTGTTTTTTCTGAGTTCTGCTCTCAGAAAAGGACCCCCAGACCTCTCAAAAAGTAGCAAGGAACTGAAACCCACTGGATCATCCCATCCAGACAATAGACTCAAGGCCCCTCAGTCATCTACTTGCTTCCCTACCTCTTGCATTCATTTTCCCACACACAGTTACATTTCTTCCCTACTATATAAACACCTAACTTTACTCCATCAGGGAGATGGACTTGAGACTGATCTCCCATCTACTTGCCCGCAGCACACAATTAAAGCCTTCTTCCTTGGCAATAATTGTCTCAGTGATTGGCTTTCTGTGTGGTGGGCAGCAGGACCTAGACCGAACCTGTGGTGTTTTGATAACAGTTTGAAGAGTGTGAGTTTCGTGTGAAGGGGGAACCATTGATGGCAGGCAAAGATGTAGAGCTTCAGATTTTTTTTTTAATAAAAGTGAAAAAACAGAACTTTTTTTTTTTTTTTTGAGACGGAGTCTTGCTCTGTCACCCAGGCTAGAGTACAGTGGCGCGATCTCAGCTCACTGCAACCTTTGCCTCCTGGGTTCAAGCAATTCTCCTGCCTCAGCCTCCTGAGTAGCTGGGACTACAGGCATGTGCCAACACACCTGGCTAATTTTTGTATTTTTAGTAGAGACAGGGTTTCACCATGTTGGCCAGGCTGGTCTCCAACTCCTGATTTCAAGCCATCCTCCCGCCTCAGCCTCCCAAAGTGCTGGGATTACAGACGTGAGCCACCACGCCCAGCAAAAACCAGAACTTTTAAATGATGTTTACATGTCTAGTTCCAATAAATGCTACGCAGGTTTTCGGTTTCCTACTTCCAGGGTAACTGGATAACATTTCTGCCTTCATGGTCGTTCCAGGCTGAAGTACCATGGGTCCAGAAGTGAAGAGTTCCTTCCTCTTGCAGTACTGCTGGGTCTCCTGGAGGAGACGGTCTGTGTAGGTGGGGTTCTTAAAGGTGGAGGGAGGAGGAGGTTACTTCCTAAAGAGGAGAAAGATAGGGAGTAACTTCAGTGTTGCTTTTGCAGAGTTGTTCACGACAGGACTTCTATTAGGCCCTGCAGTTTCCAGCAGCACAGCCCCCAACCTCCACTGACCCACACACTTAGCTTCCTGGTTCCAGTCTCGAGGGATTCCACTCACTTCTGTCCTCATTTTTTTCTCCCTAGGAACGAAGTAACAGCTGAAGAAGTCCCAGGAGTCTTCCCATGTCCTCCCAGCAACCTGGGCTCGAGCCTACTCCTGGTGTTGGCAAAGGGAACCATCTTTGAAGGTGAGGCCTCTTACTGCTGTAATAAAGAGAACAGAGGGCCAGGCACGGTAGCTCATGCCTGTAATCCCAGCACTTTGGGACGCCAAGGCGGGTGGATGGCTTGAGGTCAAGAGTTCGAGACCAGTCGGGCCAACGGGGTGAAACTCTGTCTCTACTAAAAATACAAAATAATTAGCCAGCACAGTGGTGCAGCACGCCTGTAGTCCCAGCTACTTGGGAGGCTGAGGCAGGAGAATCACTTCAACCTAGGAGGCAGAGGTTGTGGTGAGCCAAGATTGCGACACTGCACTCCAACCTGGGCGACAGAGCAAGATACCATCTCAAAAAAAAAAAGAAAAAAAAGACCAGGCGAGGTGGCTCACGCCTGTAATCCCAGCACTTTTGGAGGCCGAGGCGGGCAGATCACCTGAGGTCAGGAGTTTGAGACCAGCCTGACCAACATGGAGAAACCCCGTCTCTACTAAAAATACAAAATTAGGGCCAGGCATAGTGGCTCAAGCCTGTAATCCCAGCACTTTGGGAGGCCGAGGCGGGTGGATCACGAGGTCAAGAGATTGAGACCATCCTGGTCAACACGGTGAAACCCCGTCTCTACTAAAAATACAAA